AAAAGAGTCTGCTAGATGAAATGGGCTGCACTTTGCAATGGACCACTAGACAAGGTACGAATTTAAGCAATCTGATACATGTTTCTTAACCAGAATTTCACGTAGAACACGATTAGCGCAACGAATTTTACTGAAACTAACTCCTAACGAAGGTTTCAACGTTGTTATTTCACATTGGTTACGAGGAATTTGAACTGCCCGCTCACAAGAAACTCAAAGCTCTACTCTAGTCAAATCGCGCGCTACAACGGTTTCAGCAAGCTTCTCCATCGAGCAATGTGTATTTCCCATCATATGTTGTTCAAACCATAAAAAATTTGCTATAACTGAGCCAAACCGTCAAGATTGAGGTTTCCAGATTTTTATATCGCAGAGACTATCATGATTAACGTTTAGCGCGCGATGTGAATCACGTAGAGCATTGAGTTTTCATGAGCGGGCGGTTTGAATTCACGCATCATAAATCATTAAATATCTTTGTAAGGAGTTGATTTCGGTAACTTTTGCTATGCGCATCGCATTTTAAGTGAAATTTTGGTTCAGAAACATGTATCAGAATGCTGAAATTCGTACCTAGTCTAGTGGTCCATTAGGAACTAAAATCTCTGGCTCATCAGTAAAAAACATATGCCCAGCAGAGGTGCAGAATGTTCACGCGAAATATATCTAACAGACGGGTGAACGGTGTACCAGAGTGTCTACTAAAACAGGCTGGCCAAAAATCAGTACTTAGAGAGTACTTTTTTAGTACATTCCCAAGAAATTCGGTACCTCCTCAACAGAAAAATTCAGCACTTTTTCGGTACCTTCATTTGACGTTCCAAAAATTTGAATTTTTCGCTGAAATTGCGACAAAAATGACGAAAATTCCGGACAGTCTTGCGGAATTTCCGCACTTTTTCATTACTTACGGACCGCCCTTCAAAACTCAATACTATTCGGAAATTCCGGACTTGTAGACACCCTGTGTACACTGCAAAACACGGCGTACACTCCGGCAGTGGCCGCGCTGATTTGTTGTTAAAATTACTTCGACAGCGTCGATTTTTTGTCAGATTTACTTCCGCCGCACTGATTCTAGCTGAAGATTACTTCAATCGCGCTGTGTGGTAGTGGGTATGGAAAATTTGCGTTGTGCTGGTGAAAACGTGCACCGATGAACTTTCTGCATCCCTGCATATGTCTATACGGAAGATAAAGGTACAAAGGTTGCTCCTAAACTGAGTCGGAAATTGTATAATTCTGGTTGATCTGTAAAAACACGTAAGTGCATTGGGAAACTAGTGGTACATACGTTGTTTCTAGACTGAGCCCAAAATTGTAGTTCCTAATTGCAAAGTGCAGTCCAATTGGACCACTGAAGAGGATGTGAAATTAAGCTACACAATATTTGGACTACATTTTGCAATTCGGAACTATCATCTTTGGCTCAGTTCGAAATAAAGTATTTACCATTATTTTCCCTATGTACATAAGTGATTTTACGGGTGCGCCGGAAATCGTAGTTCCTAATTGCAAAATGAAGTCCAGTTGTTTTCTTGTCGAAAGTTTTCAGAGAATAGGGTGAATGCACTAAAAAATTCCAAATCCAACTCGTCAAGTATAGCACACGTTGCAATAAATTGGGTTGTGCGCAAGCTATCTATTCACTAATTGAAGGGTCGCCTCTTCTTTACATTTATTGCAATGAAATTGAAATAATAAGTGGTATTTTCCCCCCCTTTTCATTGCTAATTACCTGCCTTTCTTGCACAAGGCACGCATCATATTCGGGATGTCTACTAAAACTGACTGGCAAAATTTAAGTGCTTTTACAGTACTTTTTCAGTACCATTCCAAAAATCCGGCTCCTCGAAAGGATAAAAAATTCAGTACTTTCCCGATACCTAAAAGTTGATTGTTACTTTGAGTTCCTCTTACTTAGTTATATTTCTTACAGCTCATTCATTTTTAATTCTTCTATAAAAATTATCCTTAAGCACACTCAAACTATGCGGTCAAAACTGCAATAGCCGCAGGCAAGGGAAAATCGACACGGTCAGCGTGGAACCTGAGTAATCTTTCATCGCATTGCTAAGGCGCTAAGATACAACTATACGTACTCTCCGGAATGCGTGAGGTATCACGCCGCAATTGAAGGCGTTTTCAAAACTACTAACTTTCCATATCGGGATTCTCGATCTCGTGTCGCATAAAAAGCGGAGTATGCGATAAATGGAGTGACTGATCACATGAGCTGGTGCAGCAGTCATGCTCGCATCTCATAGCTTAATTTTGTTTGTTTGTAGCTTTCGTTCCAGTTAATAATAATCGCGTAATTTGTTCGGATGTGTTTCCATTCTATTTAACCTTTTAAACACATTTGTAACTGAACTTTCTTGTATTTTATTTTCGATTTGAGCTCCTTTTGTTTAATTATATTTTTTATTGCTTGCATTTTTCAACTTCTTCTATTAAAATTATCCTTTTGTTGATTACAATGCTAGCTTAAGCACACTCAATCTTTACGGTCAAAACTGCAATAGCGGCAAAGGAAAACCGACAAGGCCAGCGCGGAGAGGGTACTTCAATATGAATCTTCCATCGCATCGCTAGGGCGCAACGATACAACTATTCGTTCTCTCCGGAATGCGTGTGGTATCATGCCACAATTGAAGGCGTTTTTGAAACTGCCAACTTTCCTTATCAGGATTCTTGTGTCGCATAAATAGGGTGCCTAAAACTAGCTGGCAAATATAAAGTACTGTTATGGTAGTTTTTCAGTGCCTTTCCAAAACAGTCAGTATCTCATAAGCAAAAAAAGTCAGTACCTTTCTGGTATGTGTGAGTGAAGAAATTCGAAAATTGTAAAAATTCACGCGCAAATCGCGAGAAAAATAATGTAGCCTTAAAATTTTACAATTTTAACAAAAACTTAAAAAATGTTGTTCATTTGTACAATAATATTGTCACGAAGAGCGCCCTGACAATCTTGGCATAATGCCAATTCTGAGGGTGTAGAGAGTGAATAGTGGCGTGGCGTGTTTTGCGATAAATCGATTGATCTACCATTTAAACCTATGGAAAAGGATCGATAAACAGGGTGTTCGCAAAGAGCACCTTAAAAATCGATTCTGAACCGTTGCTTCAAATGGGGAAATATCGATAATCGATCATTCACGCCTCGTTATTGAGTCAGTGAAGTGATTTAAGAACGGCCTCATGTGCAGTGGGGGATTCTTGAAAGTTGATAACAATTTTTTTTCCTCCATTTAAATGTATGTAAAACAGTAGATCCTTGGTGAGGCAGTTTGGCTCGCCTAAAATCGATATTTTTTATGGATTTAAATGGAGCAAAAAAGTGTTGCCAACTTAGAAAATGGTCACTACCCATTTGCAATCCACAGCCGCGTGAGCAGACCAATCAATATTCAGTTATTCTGGAGGAGTGAGGAGCTAAAGACCCGAGTAATTAATAAGTCGGAACACGTGCGGAATTTCCGTCAACACAGATTAAGAATAACCTCCCTTCCGCCCCGCCCCCCGCCCCCTCTTCACCACTCATCAACAATGAATGAGTCCCACGAGACAGCATTCTTTCTTCGACCTTCCAGTGCAATCGCACCCAGGAAATTTACTCCCATCAAGTTGGCATCATTGTTTTTTCTCCATTGAACAGTGTTGCCACAGAATTTAGAAAATGAAATTCCCTGACATTTCCCCGATTTCCCTGACACATTTCGGTGGGAATCAGGGAAAGATGGTGGTGGAAACTTTGGTGGAAAGGTTTAAATGGTGCCAAAGGATGCCAACTTGCTGGATCTACCTAAATGGAAGAACATTCATTACATACAGATTTATATTTTAGAGAGATTGGGTGAATTCACAAACTTTTCGTTTTCGGCATTGTAAAGTCATAAGAAAATTCGGTCAGAATGTCAAGGAATTCCATACACTTGCTTTAATTATAATGGGATGAAACGTTGGCAAAGATTCTGGAAGACAGCAACCAAGAAATGCCCTTTTAGCACCCAGCGCTTCAATGTTATCCGGTGCCCAGAGTTGGAAACTTACTGCATCGTAAAATTGAACTACATTATGCGACAAAGAACTAATATTTTTGGATAGCTTTAGAAACAACCTAAGCGGTGTTAGATCCCCTTTATAAATGGGTGTTTTTTTTTTTTTAGATGGGCCAAAAAAAGTAAAGTGCAGCGACAAAAAATGCATAATGCAGTCCAAATGGATGTGCGCTTGCCCTTGGCCGATTGAGTACTGCCTGGATACATTCGTGTGTGGAATTGATTATGGCTCTTGCATCATGACACGTTACCTATATCGACGGACTTGTTTTTTATGAACCCAGAAACTGGAATTAGAAAAACCCGATCCATACTATTTTTTTTGGCTTGACGTCGAAAGGACGTCGAAGAGCAGATAACGCAAGACGCCTCGCTTCAATATTCATTCTGAATATTTCTAACCGAGACTTGGCTGGTACTTTTGTGGGTTTATCACGACACGGAAACTTCCGTTGTCACGACTAGAACTACATTGTTTTACTGATACAGACTCATTCCCTGGCTATTGGAGATGTGACGGGTGGTTAAGAAGGCATAGTTGAAAATAGTTTTCAGGAAGATTTCTTTTTCCAAACCTCAAACCCATTCTAGAAAGCAAATGAAGGTGATTTAACAAATTTTCCCTAACATTTTCGTCATTTTTCCGGTTTTCCCTGACTTTTTGAAATTCCCTGACATTTCCCGGTTTTCTCTGACCGTGGCAGCCCTGATATGGGGTATGGAGCAATCCTACTGGTTGAAAGGGTGGTTCCTATACACCAAGGGAGATAACGATGGACTAATAGAGTTTCTCGTGGGTTGCCGTTGGTTAGTCTGTTACTTGCCTCCTTCGCCCTGTGCAACCCCCCGCTTCCATAAATAAGGATCCCTCCATATCCTTTTTGTCTTCTTTGTCTATCAATTTCAAGAAATTGGTCCGCTAATCTTTAAAATCCGTACCTTTTCATGGAAAATCCGCACGTTTTTCGTACATCCGTAGCGTGCTCGATTGACGTTATGACGTCTCTGTCATTTTCCCGTCCACATTAGGCATCCTTTCACGCGTGAAGCACTGTACTGAGTACGCTCTGGACATCCAGAATGAGCAGTGGATCTTCGAATTAGGACTCGGAAAATGACATTTTTTCCACCGTCTATTGAACCACAACCTCCTCGAAGCTGACGAGAAACAAAGGCTGAAGGATCGACGGCACTTGGAGTTTAAACGCGCACGGCTGCGGCTCGTAGAATCATGAACTGAGCATGAATCACGGCGAGAATTCCGGATGACGATACCGCTGCGATGCGAAAGTGTGAGACTGATTAAATGGTAACGAGTAATGAGTAAGGACTAACGACTAACGCCACCCAGCGGAGATCGAGCGACGGGCTAACGGGTTGCCGAACTGGGGAATATGAGAGAGAGCGCGCGCCAATTCCTCGATTCCCGATTGCGGTCTGCGGACAGCTCTTATCAACACGAGTGAGGCCGCGCGCGCGGGCAAGCGCCGCACTATGGTCCGAATAGCCGGTTTAAGCGGCATTAAATCAGATATGTATGTTTAAACCTCGCAACATGAGTTTTCAGGGGTTTTTAGGGTCGCTGAGTGCAAAAANGGGGGGGGGGGGGGGGGGGCACACCGCCCCACAGCCCACGGGCAGTAAGTGCTTCAGGTGCATCGTCAGACCAACAGCTGCTAGGTCTCGTTTTGCCTTTCGATTCGCGATATTCACCCGGGCCGCGGAAATATTTCAGTACTTTTCCAGTAAGTCCCTCCATTCGACGAAATTCGGAAAATTCCAGGAATTTGAAATTCTCGCTCGAATTGCGGCAAAATTGGCCTGCACACAAAATTTTCAAAGCCATTGCGAAATCAGCGCTTCTACGGTGCTTTTTCAGTACATTCCCGAGAATTTCAGTTACTTCCTCAACAGAAAAATTCAGCAATTTTCCAGTGCCTCCATTCGACGAAATTCTGAAAATTCCGGAAATTTGAAATTTTCGCTCGAATTGCGACAAAATTGACCTGGACACAAAATTGCATGGATGGCTTGAAGATTTACCGGCTGCAAAATCGTGATCTCGCGGGCAAACACTGCTCTAGGCATCGACGCGCAGGGATATTCATACTTTCCAGGCTTTATTGAAAAACACGCGTGATGTGAAGGAAAAAATTCCGGACCTTCTTGAGGAATTTTCGCACCTTTCCAGTACCTTCGGACCGCCTTCAAAAAAATCAGTGATATTTCCAGACTTTTCGGGCTAGCAGTCACCCTGGGTCCCGACCGCTGGAAAATGTCCTCGAGTCCTGTATCGATGATCCCGCTGTGGAAGCGGCTTCTCATCTCTGCAAGAGTTGGCGGGAAACTCAAGGGCGTTGCGTAAGTGGCGCGGGAAATTTTCCGCTCGGCGCGAGGATGATCGGGGCCCGAGACACGTGCTCCAGCGCGGCGCGGCGCTCGCTGCTCCTGAGGCTCGGATCACGATCCGTGAATCCGCTCGCGAAAAAAGGGAAACCGGGAATGGGAGGACGCTGCGCCGCGAGCATGGAGATTGGAGGGCCTCGGAGGTCACCGCACAATGGAAATCACAGAATCATAATTCTACGCTACGTCAGGACGTCACGTCAGGACGTCACGTCAGGTCGGTGACTCGCCAATAGTTGCCCGCAGTTTCCACGGCTCCAACCGTCAAAATCATAATGGACCACTAGACAAGGCACGAATTCAAGCATTCTGATACATGTTTCTTAACCAGAATTTCACGTAGAACCCGATTCACACTACGAAAATTACCGAAGACAACTCCTAACGAAGATATTAACGTTTTTATTTCACATTGGTTACGAGGAATTTGAACTGCCCGCTCACAAGAACCTCAAAGCTCTACGTGAGTCAAATCGCCCACTACAACGGTTTCAGCAAGCTTCTCAACCGAGCAATGTTCATTTCCCACCATGTGTTGTTCAAACTATAAGCAATTTGCTATAACTGAGCCAAAGCGTCAAGATTGAGGTTGCCAGATTTTTATATAGCAGAGACTGTCATAATGACGTTTAGCGCGCGATGTGAATCACGTATAGCATTGAGTTTTCATGAGCGGGTGGTTTGAATTCACGCATCAAGAATCATTAAATATCTTTGGAAGGAGTTGATTTCGGTAATTTTCGTTATGCGCGTCGTATTCTACGTAAAATTTTGATAAGGAAACATGTATCAGAATGCTGAAATTCGTACCTTGTCTAGTGGTCCATTGCGCCTAGGGAATCGGTCGTGGCGCCTAAAAAATGAAATCTCTGCTCCACGGTGGCCCCTAAAAATTACACACCCCCCCCCATCATAATTTTCCTGATTGATGATTTTCCGGACATTTCATCAAGTTACAGCTACTAGTTCTGTGACTAAAATATCATGCGTCTAACTTTTCACTAAATGCGCCATGATAAATGGGAAAAAAATCAATTTGGCCCCTAAAAATCGAGCTTCATGCGCCACATGGCTCCTGAAACTGAAAGGTGAGTTTCGAACACTGAACAGTACACAGGTTGGCCCATGCAGACCTAGCGTGGCAGGTTTTTTCTCCAGTATTTTAGGTCGGACCACGGGACCAAGCCTAGGACTTGGGGGACGAATCGGGAATCGACCCCCAAGAAATCAAAATTTCATAGTCTTGGAGCCATCCGGGTCCCCCTCGGAAGATAAGAGGGGGGGGGGTCCACACCTCAAAGGTCGAGGTTTACGTCGAAATATTTTGATTAGCTCATCGGAATGAAAAGGTGCGAAAATATTAACCCAAGTCGATGCCGAGAAATCTAAAATCGGCCCATCCGTGCCCAAAATACTGACCCCTGTGGAGGAAGTAGAGGGGACTCCACACTGGTTCCATTTACGAATTTCGACGCAATTCCCGTATTCATGCTGAAAGGAAATATCTACAAATACATCGAGGCCAAAGAAATACTACTTAGATAGAATGTCCGCGCTTCGTCGCTTTATAGATTTCATTAATTTCCATGTTTTTCTTTCGAGCATACATACGTCCACATCCGCAAAGCTCGTTTTCGGAGGGAAATCCGACTTTTCGGAAATTCTCATGTGACAAAATTCTTAAGGTTATTTTCCTCCAGTCAACGCTAAAATATATTAGGGTCCAAAAGCAAATTACTCCTCACAATGTGAAACGACCAAAAATGGCATTCGCTCGGCTACGTGTAGTTCAAGCCTAGAGAGTTAAAGGGGGCGGGGGGCACTCTCAGTTGTCTTAAAGAAGCCTCTATACTGCCGTGCTAAAGAAGAACGCCGTATGAACATTCAAGAATCGCTAAATTTCCTTCGATAAAATGTTGACTTTTGAAGAAAGCTGTGGATATTTTTCCTTGAGATTTTCAGAAAGTTTAGTTGAAATTGGGAACAACATTATCCGAAAAATTGGAAGAAAAATATTCATAAGTTTACCAGGAAATTCGTGGTTTATCAATCGACATTTGGCAACGCCTGAAGGTTCATACGGCGTTATTTCCTAAGTACGGCAGTATATGAGGAGGAAAGAGAGACGAGAGACTCGGCAAAAATGCATCATGCATCATTTACGAACGTCCTCTCGAAGCGGGCCGTCGGTATAAATGTAGGTATTTCGTAAAAAAAAGAAGAAAATAAAGAAGAAAAAAAATTGAAAGTCAACGATAACTTTGAGCCGGAAAAATGCACATGTACGGGCTTTCATTAGCTAAACAGGCATTTGTTTGGATTTACGTAGCGCGTTGGCAATTACCCAAGAATGAGGTTTCACGGAAGTCCTATAATCCAATCCGTATTTCTGCGAGTTATACCGTTTGGCTCACACACACAGACCAGTTTTAAACATGAGGATAAATACACACTTGAGTAAATGCACACACTACACACCTAGGTTACCGCTATTGATTTCTTGCAATCAAGGATGAGTTCAACTCGCTTTCTCTTGTTTACTTCCTTCCACAACCCTGAGCGTAAAGGGACTGTCCACATGCTGCTACCTCAGGAGTCAGAAGAAACATCTCCCACGAAAATTGATTACGGTGGCTTTGGAATGGATATGAAAATCCGAGCGTTGTTATGGTCAAGACGGCATCAGAAAAGAGTTGAAATTTTTTAACTTCTCTGCGGTATAACCTGACCGAAGAGAAAACTTCCTCAACGGACGGGACAAATTGGAATACTGAAAAGTGATGCAATGATTTTCCGATCCTGTTGGAACCTATCAGATGTGAGCCGGGAAAATTCGCCACTCTTGTAAACGTAATTTTCCCTTGAATTTTGGACTTTTTCCCCTTTATGTATGATGTTTCTGATCAATTTTGTTTCAAATTTTTGGTGATAAAAAATTGAGGCACTAGATGCGAAAAGGGCACTTCTCGGTTGTAGTGCTTCAGAGTCTTCTCTAATATTTCATTCATTGTAAGGAAAGGGAATGTATCCATTTCACTAAAAATGTTACTGATTATTCCTTATGATGCTACAATTTTCTATGGAAAGGATTCTGGAAAAATCACCCATTAAACTATTCTCCAAAGAATTAATTAGCAACAGGGCCGGATTTAGGGGGTGGCCACATGCGCCGCGGCCCATGGCGACAAATCTAGGGGGCGACAAATTTTGCAATTTTTTTTTTTTTTTTTAATGTAGCCATAAAAAAATCGGATTCAGAAAAAAAATTACAAACAAGGAAAGGCGACAAAATCTCTCATTTCCTGGGAGTATAGTAATTACTAATTTTGTCGTCTTTCAGTGATACTAGGGACAGCACCTTAAATTAGTCGAGTTAAGAGAGAAACAAAACACGCAATTGGGCCTGGAACGGCGCGGCTTCGAGAGAAATGATGACGAGGAATTGAGATGAAAAGGAGAAGCCCTCGGCGCGCAGCGGTCAGAATGTAACAAACATTAGCGCCTAAAAAACTGCATGAATACTTCACGTATTGCATCAAACACAGTGCGGTGCCGGTGCGGTCACTGCGGGCAGCCTGGAACGCATAGCGCCTACAAGACTGCATGAATACTTCACGCATTGCGCCAAACACGGTGCGGTCTGCGCGGCGCGGCGGCGGAAGTTCAAATTTTTAAACCACATTTATGTTAATTCTTTCATAATTTGTTAGTTCATTTCTCACAAATGAAAGGCCTTGTCCCCACAGAGATAGGTTTACGGAACTGAACTTTCGCGCGAAGTTCCATGAACTTTTGCTAGTAGTGTTGACAGGGCTTAGGCAAAAAATGTGTCCAACACGAGTGAACGCGTCTTATGCACCCTTCTCCCGCCGGCACGTTCACATTATGGTTTTTATTGATGTTTTAAGACGAATGAGAAGGGGGCGGCAAAATACAGGCGGCTCATGGGCGGCAAGAAGGTAAATCCGGCCCTGATTAGCAACAGAGATTCTGAAACACCGCAATCGAGAGGTGCCCATTTCGC